CCAAATCAAATAGAGGGTTGGAGGGAGCCATAAAAAACAATCCTCTTGGCAAGACAAAGTTTATCCAACTCAAATTTGGTCTAGTGGAAAAGGCACTGGGTATAAAGACAAAAGAACTGGATGTAAATGATGATCTTGGGTAAGTCACTTCCCCAGTTTGGGACTTAATTCTATCATCTATAAAGTTAGGTGGTTGGAGTAAAGAAAAGCTAGTGAACCCTCTGGTTTGACCAGTTTGTAATTCATGCTCCTAAATGAGCATCTATCCTATTTTGAATGACCCCTGACCTGAATTGTTGGATTGGTTCTGTCATTGGTGAGCTACATGACCTTGGGTCAGTCACACTTTTTCATCAGTAAAATGAATGGGTTAAGGTTAGATCATTCAGTTATATAATTAATAAGCATTGACTAAGTGCCTAATATGTGTCGGGCACTCTGCTGAGCTCTGAGGTTATAAAAGACAATCATGAAACAGTTTTTGCTTTCAACTTTTATTCTATAAGGAGAAACAATTGAATATATAGAAGTTTATTCCAAATACATACAGGGTCATTTCAGTGGGATGGGGAAGCACTAGATTGGGTGAATAAAGGGAGGGGTCAGAAAAGACTGTGTCATTTGAGTCACGTTATGAAAGAAACCAGGGCTTATTGGAAACCATGGAAGGTCACGGAATATCATATGTAACAGGCAGGCAGCCAACTTGGCCAGACTACAGAGTGCATGAAGGGGAATGAATGTATAAAAAGCCTGGGAAGACTTACTTACCCAGCTTACTTACCCTTACCTTCCCAGGTAGGTTAGAACCAGATTCTAGAGTCTTGATTATCCAACAGAGGAATCTGTCTTTGATCTTCAGACAAGAGGGAACTTGAGGTTCTTAAGTGGGGAAATGTAATGGTCAGACTTACATTTCAGACATTTTAGACATATTTTGGCAGGCTTGTGGAGGATAGAACACAGAAGGGTAAGAGTTGAGGCAGAGACTTTAGGGTTCATGTAGAGGGCTTGACCTTGGTGAGGTGCGTTACCTGATCGAGCATCAGTGACTGGAGTGAAGGAGGAGAGAATGTGAAGAATGAGTGGAGGATGAGAATAGTGAGAACAATGTCAAAGGGACACAAGGAACAGAATAGGTGAGCAGTTTATGGTGAATAGCTTTGATTTTCTCTGTAAAATATGACGTAGTGGGAGGGAGATTAAGGGGAAAAAAGTGTAGATTTTGAATAGTCTCTGAGAGAGTGGGATGGAGAATTAATAGGGAAGAATAAAAAAATGTCCTTTCAGTGAGGAACTAGTTGAGATCAGACAATTTAAGCTTATAGAGGACCCAGTATAGACTTGTGACTTCTTTCAACTCCATTCAGCCTTACTTAAGTAAGAAGAGAGAAAGGTGGGGTTGGTAGGAATCCAGGCTTGGTGATTGGCAAGGTGTAAGAGGCCATAGGACAAAGGAACAAAGGAGAAGAGAAGAAACTGAAATGGTGAACCAGTCAACAGCTGGGTCAAGGCTGGGAAGGGAGGAAAGTGAAGTCAGAGCAGATAATCTGGCCTAAGAGAGTAGTAAGGGGTGGAAAGACTGGAGGTCATAGTGATAACAAAGGATAGGAAGAGCGAGACACAGGATGAGATGTTAAGAGGTTATGGTTGTGCACAGCAACACTTGTGGGTGATGGCAAAACGAAAGGTATGACCATCTCTGGGTGTAGTCATGATAGAAGGATTGTGCAGGTCACAAGGATTAAGAAGACTGGGGAACTGGAAGGCCCGGGTGTTTAAGAGAATATAAATCTGTACTCTTGAAATCCTCTAAAATAAGAGTAGGAGCTGCAGAGGAACAGAAGACAGACAACGAGGTACTGGACTTCCCAGAAAGGGAGAAGAATGATACGAAGACTGAAGAGAATTACCACTAGGACGTAAATTGTTTGATATGTGTGCCCAGTGTGAACCTCAAAGGAACAGGAGGGGACTGGGAGTGGCATTGAGTAGAAAGGGCTATGCCAATCCCTACACCAAGAAGGTGTGTTAGAGGGCGTGGGAGAAGGTGCAACCAGGAAAGGATGGCCAGGGATGACGTGTCCTTGGGAAAGCCAAGTCTGCGAATGCCAGAGGATGGAAAGAGTGCAAGGAGAAGGAAGGGGTCTAAGATACAGAGGATCTTGTCAATGAGTGAGTAGAAATTCCAAAGAGCAAAATGAAAGTGGTAAGCTGACCGAGATGGAGTATTGACTCTTTAATTGTAAACTGTGATGTTTGGGTGAGGAGATTCTCTACCCTTCCTTCATAAAGTGTTCCAAATTTTATCAACATTTAGCAATAAGTGGTCTTTTAAAGCTTTAAATCTATGACCCTGAAAACATGTGTCTCTACAGCCACCAGTATGACTGGCTCTGGTTTGCTTCCTCTTACCTATCTGGTGGCAATCCAATAGGGCCTATTAGATTTGCAGTGGGGCTTCTTCATAGAAAAAAAGTGAGAGGAGGCATGAGCTAGTCTTAAATCCCATGTTCTTATTTTCACTTAGCTCTTGATCTAAGTGACTCCTCTCAGCATTTTCCACAAAGAAGTGTCCTTAGAATAGGTCACATCAAGCGGACAGCCTTGGGATAAATGAACTTGTCTTTTATGTCTTATCTAAGGTTGATCTAGTCATTTACTAAGTGACTCATTGAGGAAACAGAAACTGGTTGGCTAGTGACAAAGTCATTCTCAATGTGGGAAACATATGCTGATTCTGACTCATACTTCATAGCCACATGGGGACTGAAGGACCTATCTCACCCTTGAACAGCTAACCCTGAGGCATTGCTCTAATGATGGGAAATTTCTAAATGCCCACTGAGTTCAATTGAATAATGGTTCAATCCCAATGATGCTTGCATATTTCCACCAGAAGATTGGCACTTAGTAGAAAGAACACGAATATGCTGGTAGGCTCCCAAGAGAATTTCTTCTCTGCTTCCTTCAATCTTCCTGAAGGGAAGCTATAGAATAGAAGTATTTTCAACCATGTTTTTTTTTCAAACATGTTTATTCGTAACAGTATTACATGATGTGTTACAGAAATTAATGGAAAATCTCTAAAAACATTTGCTGTTCTGTTGAATGCATCATACATAAAGTTAAAAATAATGTGTCCGTATATGTTAACAAACTGTCAGCTGAGGTAAAGTCGAAGTAGATCTAGAAATGTACGGCAACAGTCCTTTTATCTTTCTCCTCTTTATTAAAAAAATATGTGTCAGAATGCAGAAATGGAATTGAACAAAACCCACAGAGTAAACATCATTGTTGTCATTATCATCATTATTATTATTTCTGAAAAAAAGGTGCCCAGTACATTAGATGATGGCATTTCGTTAGACACTGGGATGACTGTGGTCTATTGAAATTGTCTTGTTACATGTAGAGATTGAAGAGCTACGGGGAATGATAACAAGATGGAGATTGAGTTTCCCTGGTTTTAAAATTTAAAGTGACAAATTTAGTGCCAGTGAAGGATGAGGAATTAACAGTTATACAAGTGGTGTATGAAACTGGTCCAGTGCAGGCTCCCTGTGAACTTCTGGGTTTCAGCCTCTTTGCTACAGAATAAAGGATGGTTGGTATTCCATTGAAAGGACTTGGTAGTTCTAGCTTCCCTGACTACCACTTGGCAAAAGAACATTGCCAATGATGAGATGGGCAATAATCTTAAATGCCAACTTTCTATCCCTTAACTTGTTCCATGGATTTCTTTATGTTCCAAGGAGTGGGCATTCCTAATGGAGTCCTGTAAGTGGCAAAAAATCCACGGGGCTGTTGGATTCTGCTCTAAAAATATTTCCCAACAGCATAAGTGGAACAGTTAATTTGACTATTTCAAAATCAAGCAAGGTTGGAAGCAGTTTGTGATTGAGAGATAAAAATTAGAAGACAGCCACATTGAGGCAGAAGATAGCACCACTTGTTGGAGCAGAAATCATAAAACAACACACAGTTCTCTAAGACTTGCTTAATGGGAATGGTCACCCTTTCTGACTCACCCTAAAACACAACCCGACTTATGTGAATGCAGTTGCTGTATTCCCTTCTTCCCACTATTTTTGTTGTAACTGTTGATTGAAGAAGGTGGTTTCTTCATAAAATTCATGTTCATTCTTATGAAAAGGATAATATTCATAGGTGGCAATTTACAGATGAAAGGCAGGGAGATCAGAAGAGCAAGAGGAGAGGGACAAAAAAGATAATAGGACAGAATGGGAAATGAAGGGAAAGAAGAGAGAATGGAAAGGAAGGGAAAGAGGAGTAAGGGAAAAGCAGAGAAGAGAAAGAGAAAGATGACTAGAGGGAAAGAGAAGTGACGGAAAAAGAGGAGGGAAAAGAACACGGAGTTGATGAGAAGGAAGAGGAGAGAAAACAGAGAGGGGGAAAAAGACGATGAGAAGTAAAAGGGAAGATGAGAGAAAAGAAGGAAAGGGCGAGTGGTAGACGGTCTCCTCATCTCTCTGTATCTTGGGCACTTTCCCTTCTAGAAACCAGTCTCATAGATTTTACCGTGATCGTGTTCTCAAGACACCTAACCAGACAGCAGATTCCAGCAGCCAGGTATTGCAACATTTGGCCCCAAACAGTTTCAACCATCCCAATCTATCACTCTGTTCTTTGTTGGTGGAAACCAAGCTTTCTTCTAAGCCATTTCAGAGCACACCAACATGACAGCATAAATGGTGGCTGCATCCTGGCCCACTGAAATCCATGACAGTGATGCACCTTCACCTGTTCAAATTCTGAAATTATGATAACAACCCTAGACACAGATGAACCATGATCCCTTTACAGTTTTCTTCTTATTGTTAAACTGCGAATCCAACTCGCGGTAACTGCATAGGAACATTAGGAAAACATGTTTGACCTGTATAAGAATTCTCTGGAGGGCAAAAATATAGAGCTTCTGTATGAAAAGCATGTGCTAAACAGAGTAAGGAACCAAAAACTGCACTTCCCCCCCCCCCCCCCAATTAATGTAAAAAAAAGGAAGCTAAAACTCTCTGTGTCATGTACAAACAGTCCCGCAGTTTCCATAGGGGAGGAGTCAAGAATCAAAAAGACAGGCTCCAAAGGGTCATGTACACTCTATATGCACATGCTGTCTAGATGCATATATGTATGTATAGATATATATATATATATATATATTCTTTTCTTTACATGAAGTTTGGGTAATTTTGTGGAAAAAGTGAGATCATTACCTGATGTGATCCCTCCCAGTTTTCACTAGTTGCTGATTGGCTAGTTACTACCGCCAGACACACCTGAGCTCTAGCCCCTTATCACATCAGCATAAGCTTGTGGAAACCATACAGCATGTAAGAACCGTCCTTCCAGCTTGTTACACCTCCAGAGCCACCTGTTCCTCTCTCTACAGTGTAATGGCATTATTTAAAAGAATTATCAGTAAGATTGATATTTACAAAAAAAATTATCAACATTGGACCTCCTTAAAGCCATTTCCCTTACCAAATTGCAAGAGTTTTATGGTAAGATTTTTTTTTCCTTTTTCAAGATATAAAATAAAAAAAGAGATCCCATTTGAGTTTTCTGATGTACAAAAAAGAGATAGGGATGAACCACTTGCATCAGAGGTTCAGTTTGTTACCCCACTGTTCAAGCCACCGTTGTCCTATTTGGAAAGTCAGTTTCATCCGAATCTGCAAACTAAAATTGGACCAGAATTATTTGGCAAATAATATTCTTTAAAAAAAAAGTGACACACAGAGAAGAGAACACTTGTCTGCATAGCATCACAGCAGCAAGAGATTGGAGAAATAAAAAATATTCCTTTATTGTACTTAGCATTTGGAGTTTTCTAGGAAATAATGAGTTTTTTCCTCCTTCTCATCCAAGAGAGATGATGCATTTTCTTCCCATAGTGAGAATGTTCAATCTGAAAGCAGCATTTCTCCATCCTGAAGCACGAGAGCAAAGAGGTCCTTTTGGCAACCATTTTTTAAAAAAAATCATCACAAATAATCAGTTGTGTGATTTAATTCTGTGATTTCAAGTTAAGGTTCATTTCACATGAGGCAATTTCCAACTAGATTTCATCACTTATTGGGAGGGGGAAGTTACCAGGAAGTACAAAAAATGGTATACCCATTATCTCTAAGTATGCTAGGGGGAAGAGGAACCCCCAGATCAAAGCCACAAGGCAGGACCAGTTTTCTGTAGTGATGAGAAACAATCATCATTGATTTAAAAATGCAGACTTGGGCCCAAGAACCTGATGGACAATGATCTTGTGAGCACACCAGACCCTCTGACTTTGCTTAAAACAAATAAGTGGCCATTACAAGTTAACTTTTCACTGTCGGTGACTCCATATGCAATGGTCGAGGTTGAGGGAAACAAAAAGATTTCCCATCGTGGGCAATTCAGAACTCTTGTCAAGAGAGCTCAAGGTTTTTGTAGGGTAAGTAATTGTCGGACGGTTCCAGGGATGATGATGATGGGGGTTCCTTTTTTTTTTTCCTTTTTGTGCTGCCATAGATATTAGCCGCTGGTTGCCCAAGTGGTCAGGTCCATCTGTAGAATTAGTTCAGCAGGCAACCATCAATTCCATTGTCAGATGGGGTCATGTCAAAGAAATCAGGAGAGCCCAAGGCCTGTTGAGATGTAGGTTTCCATTTCAGTCTTGAAGCGCCCACCCCAAACCCACAATGATTCTATTTCTTAGGTTTGTTGATCTGCGCGTAGAGGGATTCATACTCCTGTGGACAGAAGAACACAAATGAGCATGGTCCTCCTAGACAGGAACTGTGGAATATGGACTTGGATATACTTTGGAGAATATTATCAAATGAAGTTCATTCATTTAGGCTTCCAGCAAACGTTTACAATGTGTTGGACGTTGAGGGTGATAAATAAATTCAGGTAAGATATTGTCCTTGTTTTGACAAAGCTTACAATCTAGTGGGCATGTGTGACATAAACATACATAGCATCATTGATTTAGAACTGGAGGGGAATTTAGAGGCCACAGATCCCAGCCCTCTCATCTTACAGATGAGGAAACTGAGGAACAGAGTGTTTGAATAATCTGCCCAGGGTCACACAGCTAGTAAGTGACTGAGGCATGATTTTTAACTCAGAACTCTTTGATTCCAAGCCTAGCACTCTTTCCACTATATCTTACAGATAACTATAATGTAAAATATTACCTAAACATATTAGAGATGAATTCATAGAACCTTGGGAAGACTTGTCTGAAAATGCAGAGCAAAAATTTAGAAGCAGGAAAATAACATCAAAAGATTTCAGAAATCTTACATACACAATGACCAACTGTGACCTTAGGGGACTGGTGGAAAGCACGCCTCCTGCTTATTGGCAGAGGGGATGGACAAGAGATGCACATACTTTCATATGTGGCCACTAGATTGATTTCTTCTTTTTAAGTACACTTATTTGTTCCAAGCAGGGTCCTGTGGGTGAAGCGGAGGTTGTCATTGGGGACAGACAGTGGTACTTTTGAAAAAGAAAGTAACATCAATAAAAAATAAAATAAAAAAAAAATCAATAAAAAAAATAAATAATCAATAAAAAAAATAAAGGGAAAATGTATGAAATGATGAAAATAAATGAAATAAAGAGTTACAAAATGACATGTTATATAAAGTCTAGGGTAACTGGTCATTGCTGTTTGGAGAGAATTCCTAGAAGAAGTGGTACTTGAAGTGAATCTTAAAGGATTCATTGGGAATTTCAACAAAAAGGGGAGGAGTGATATTCTAGTGACACTGTGAGCAAAGGTATAGAGGTGGGACCATTCTGATTGAAGCACAAGGGGGGAAATGAGATAAGGATGGAAAAGGAGGATAGCATCAGATTGCAGAAGGTTTTGAATGGTAGGGCATAGAGTTTTAATTTTATTCTGAAGCCAAAGTTTGTAGAAGAGGACTGTAGCTTTCAAGGGTTGCTTATGGACTGACTTCAGATGGGCTCCATGTGTATTTCCTATCACTCCATTCCTTCCTCTACACATCGATGCATTTCAAAATATGGTCACTTGAAATGGTACAAACTCTATTTCAAAGAATATCTAAGTTCTGATGAGGCATGAATAATTGGACATCTGTATAAAGAGATACTCACAAAATATCTTCTGATTTTTGCTTTAATATGGTCCATTTTAAGGGTGTAGTGTTAAGAACAGTGGGCCTTGGTTTCAGAGTTCCCACCTCTTACATTAACTAAGTCATGTAACCTTGAGCAATTCAACAAACATCTATTAGACTACTGGGTGCATGGTGCTGCAGATACCAAGACAAACACAAATAATCCCTGACCTCAAGAAGATTATGTTCTGCAGGAGGCATACAACATGTGTGCATGTTAGCAAATACACAATATTTCAAGTACTTAAAGTAATTTTTCTATTCTTCTTTTAGAATCTTATTTTTATAGATACTTTTAATCTTTAACAACACATTAATTCCTGCATAGATCTCTCTCTTCAAACTGAGTGAGCCTTTACTTGTCATAAAAAAATTGAAAAAAGGAATAAAAGGCAGTCCAGCAAAACCACCAAACACATCAATCAAATCTGAAATCGTACGCAATGTTACCTATACTCCCAGAGCTTCTCCCATGAGAGTTAAGAGTGTTTTAACTCTTCTCTGAGGCCTAAATCTGATCATGATAATTACATACCAATTAGTTTTCAAAGTAATTTTGAGAGGGAGATAGAACTGAGCATGTAGTCAGAAAGACTTGAGTTAAATTCCTGCCTCAGATACTTACTAGTTGTACGACTTTCAGTAAGTCACTTTACCTTTCTGCGCCTCAGTTTCAGTTTGTAACATGAGAGTATTGGACTCAATGAACTCTAAGTTCCCTTCCAACTCTCAATCTATGATGCTATGAAATGGGCATATATTACTCTCCTTCTCTGGTCTGAACTATCATTTTCCCTCTTTAAATGAAATTTCTCTTTCTCTCTCTCCCTCTCTCTCTTTCTCCATCTTCTCTCTCATCTCTTTCTCCATTTTCTCTTTCATCTCTTTCTCCATCTTTTTTCTCATCTCCCTCATCACTCTCTCTCATCTCATTCTTCTCTCTCTTTCTCCTCTCCTTTCCTCTTTTCCTGTTTCTGTGTGTGTGTCTCTCTCTCTCATATGGAAGAGGGGTATATTAAATGCTAAATGTGACTGTTTGGAAGAAATATTGTATTTTGCCGGGAAGGATGTTAACATCAACGTTTCTGGGCTATCGTTGAAGAGTGGCACTCCGATCCCTCCCTATTCCAGCTCTCTCCATTCCACCTTCATCCCAGACACCCTAAGAAGTCAGCGTGACTTGATCTCCCCCGACAATTTACTATATTCTAATTCTGGAAGCTAATTAATCCGACAGAGAGGGACACCTAAAAACAGAAGTAGGCAGCAAGTTCAGCCAGGCTCATTACTGGCAGCCAACATTAACTTTCCAAAGCAGTGATAAATATTCACAGATCCTGAGAGAGCCTGAATTTAGATTTGAGCAGCCTTCACAACAAGGCAATAGTTAGTGCTCAGTTATCCCTATCAATGATGCGGAACACACCAAACACCTGATGATTCCCAGATCAGATGAGTGTTGTAATGTCCTCATGGGAAGGGAGTATCATAAAATGGATAGGCAACATGCTGGCCTTGTAGTCAGAAGAGCTGGGTTCAAGCCCTGCCTCTGACTCAAACCTGACTGTACGACCCTGAGCTAGCCAGTTAACCTCAGGTAATTCTTTAAGACTATCTGAGGCACAGAGCAGGTATTGATCCGAGTTGGTAGAAGGTGTTCCATCATAATGAAATCACATTCTGTGTAATGATGTTAGATCTGTCAAATGTCATAATATAAAAAATTATAGCCCTTTTCCAAAAATGTTTGTTATAGATCAAGAAGGGTCCTCAGAGTTCCTTTAGTCTAATTCTTTCATTCATTTTACAAGTGAGGAAACTGAGGCCCAGGGAAGTAAAATAACTTCCCAAGTCACAAAGAAAGCAAATGTCCAAGACAATATTTGAACCTTGGTCCACTGCCTGTACCACACTGTGCACCAATGTAGGCATTTGGCAAAAGGTGTGCCTTGCTGATTGTTAAAACATAGAATGCTAATGCTTAGGGGACCCTATGATAAGGGTACTGAGATATGGAATATTATTATTATAAAGTAACTTAAGTCAACTAGCATTTACTAAGCACCTACTATATGCTAGCCCCTGTGCTAAGTAAGCCTTGTGGATGCAAAGAAAGGCCAAATAAACAAAAAAAAAATAGTCCCTGCTCTCAAGGAGCTTCCAGTCTAATAGAGCAAAGCATATTATAATGTAGCACATTAGAGCTGGGAGGGACATAATCATGCATAATAGTATAGCTGGCATGAAAATGTAAATGCTAGAATAGGGAGGGACCTTATGACACAGAATGCTGGAACACAGAAGGCTAGAGCTTCAAGGGTGCTTAGAACATAGCACTTAGATTGCTGGAGTTGCACAGGAACTTAGAATATGCAATGCTAAAGCACAAACCACATAGACTATTAATGCAAGAAAGAGCTTAGTATGTAAAATGCTGGACAATAAAACATCCATAGAACATGGAACATCAGCACTCAAAAGGACTTTAGTTGGCAATCTAGTCCAATCCCTTAAAGACCAACCCATACTGGGGCCAGAATCTTCACTACACCATTCTCAACAAATAGCCATCCACCTTTGTTTGGGGACATTCAATGAAGTAGAGCTCACTGCCTCCCAAGACAACTCATTTTAAGGGAAACTGAGGACAATGAAGTTAAAAGCAATTTGTTTAACTCTGATTTAGATTAATGGTAGGACCAGGACTAAAACCCAAGTATCTTGACTACCTCCAACCCCCACCCCAGTCCAGTGCTCTTTCCATAAGTGAGAGGTCTTTTGAATTAAATGTAAAGGTAATAGCGGTAAACACTGTTGAGCACAAAATAGAGAGAAAATAATCTTTTCATACAAAGAAAAGTAGGGAAACAATCACAGTGAAGAGTCTTGAGATCATGCTATATAAGAATAAATTAAAAGAACTAGGAATGTTTAATCTGGAGAAGAGAAGACTTGGGGATGGATATATATATATATATATATATATATATATATATACTCTTCAAGTATTTGAGTATATATACTCATCGAGTATTTGATGTCCCCAAAGCAAGAATGGCAATGGGCTGGGAATGGTGTCGAGGGGATTCTTGTCCTGATATGGGTTGGACTGGCCAGTCTGTGAGGCATCTTCCAGTTTAGAGCAGCTGAATATTCAAAACTCAACTAAATCCTGTCCTTTGAGCCTGACCTTGATACTGTCTTATTGGTGAAATTTTCTTCTAATGAGACCCCTTTAAGGTTACCTCCCTTTCTAGTGAATTCCACTCCTTAGTAAGGTTTTAGTGTCTGCCAAAACACAACTAAATAAGATGTTTTCTAATAAATAAATACAATGTGCTTAATAAAATGAAAATGGGAATAACAGGGTAACAGATTTCTTGCCGTCACCTTAAATTCAACATATCCAGCCAAGCTCATTGTATTTTACACTCCCATTTCTGTTAATGGTGCTCAGTCACTGAGGTTTGACAGTTTGTAGTCATCTGTGATTCTTTCCCTTCTTCATTCCCCAATGCTATCCACCACAGAGACCTGGCCATGTTTCCTTGTCATGTATTTCAAATCTGTTCCTGTCTTTTAGCTGTCACCAT